TGCAGTTGCTAACAAAATTGTCAGTAGCAACATCCATTTTAAGCATAAACATTTCAATGATTCCTGAAGTTAAAAGCATCCTAACTGTAATACATTTAAGAATTATAATTTCTAAAAACATAACTGATCATATTGCTAAAGGAAATACTTCAACAGGCAAAATGAGTCTCATAATCTTAAAGCCTCAGTTCTGTTATTTCAATGTGTAATGTGCTTACTGCATGGTTGTCAAACAGTGTGTGTTAGTTCCCTGCAGCTCAACAGTCTTAATTGCATTCTGTTTCCAACAGCATCACAAACAGGAACCATCATAAAATGTGAAGGTTCCCATGTCAATAGTCACTGTGGCCAACTGTTGGTAATTGTCTGAACAGCTGTCCGATGACTTGGAAACATTGCTGCCAGTTGTTGAGAACAGTGAGGAACAAAAGCACCTTGCTGGGTGATCACTGAGGTGGCTTCAGAATAAAGACAAGCTCCTGAATCACTGGCAGTACGCTTTGTATGTGTTTTCCTAGTAATTACATCAGTCAACAAGGCAACATGCTGACCAATAACTCCCCTGTTGTTTCTTTTAAATTGCCAAGGAAGTGTAATTCCAGATCCCCATCAACACTCATTAAGTTAAATTATTATCTGTGTCGTTCAGCTGAATCCCCAAGTGAATATTATTAATTCTGTTGTTTTCAAGCATTATAATTCCATTATTATTTTGTTTGGTCCATTGTGGTAAAAGACTGCTTTACAGCCTGCACAGTGTTTAGTTTTAGAAAAGCAATCCCACCCAAAAAAATGTAATCTAATATAAAAGCTGAAAGTGCTAGAGAACTGCAGCAAGTCTGGCAGCTTTTGTGGAGACAGAAACAGAGTTAATGTTTCGAGTCCAATCTAACTTCTCCAGATGCTGCCAGACCTGTTCTCCAACATTTCTCCAACATTTTCTGTTTTTATTTCAGATCTCCAGCATCGACTGTACTTTTATCTTATAGAATGTTCTAATTTTGGATAAATGCTCTAACAATTTGTCTGCAGTAACTTAAGTTGGAGATTTTTAAAAACAAACTCTTGAACTGGACTCTTCTGTTTCTAATGATGTTGAATTATGCTGAGGTGTGCTGCTGCGAATATTAATTATTGTCTAGCAGATTCAGCAAATGGTGCATACTCTATTTATGAGTCACCCTGACCCAACACACATGCTGCTACAAACTCTCCGGGAAAATTCCCTGGAGAATTATCTGGTGCTGGAAACCTAACAATTGTCATCCATTCTGGTAAGGGATACAAAGAGACAATTAACTAGCCCACTGTTAGCTTGGCTTTTTGATGTCTGTTGGAAAAATAAAGTAAAAATCTATATCGCGAATGGCACAGTTCCTTATTGAAGTGTTTTTTTCTCTTGAAACAGTCAAGTCTTCAATAGATAACACAGTGTGGAGCTGGAGGAACACAGCAAGCCAGGCAGCATCAGAGGAGCAGGAAAGCTGACGTTTCAGATCGGGACCCTTCTTCAGAAATGGGCAGGGGGAAGGGGACTCTGAAATAAATAGAGAGGAGGGGTGGGGCTGGGGAAGTTAGGTGGGATGGTGATAGGTGAGTGCAGGTAGGGAATGGTGGGGATTGGTCAGTGAGGTGGGAGGAGCGGATAAGTGGGAGAGAAGATGGACAGGTTGTGTCAGGTCAAGGAGGCAGGGATGAGAGGGAGGGTTGGTCAATAGGATGAGACCAGGGTGGGGAGATTTTGAAATTGGTAAAATCCACGTTTAGGCCATTGGGCTGTCGGCTCCCAAGGCGGAATATGAGGAGCTGCTCCTCCAGTTTGCGGGTGGCGTCATTGTGACACTGGAGGAGGCCCAGGACTTCAATAGCATTTTTTATGAACTCTCAAGGGTCACCATTAAAAGTGATGTAGGTTCTAATTCCCAGTACCTGTGTGAAAGTATTTTCTCTGAAAATATCTGCATATCTATTCACATCTCTCAGTTACTTTTCATTGCTCTGTTTCAATCCTTACAGCTGCTGGCAAGAATTAGATGGATACAATTTTTCCAGTATTGTGATTTAGGTCTGGTCATTTGGTATACAAATTGAGAACTTAAATTGTCCCCATTCACACTTTCAGTCAGTCAAACTGCAAACACAGCAGGAGCTGGAATTCTACATTTAAAAAAAAGCTTAATTCTGTTCTGAAGAAGGGTCACTGGACCCAAAACGTTAACTCTGATTTCTCTCTACTGATGCTGCCAGGCCCGTTAAGCTTTTCCAGCAATTTCGGTTTTTGTTTCTGATTTCCAACATCTTCATTCCAGGTTGACTAAACCCAGAAGCCATAAAACAGAGAGCAGGGCAAGAAGAATGACTTAATCACATAATTAAAATATGCAGGAATACTCTCTCATCACATTTAATATAAAATTTATTATTGAATTGTCCCATTAAAATGCTACATTAGAACTGCCAGTGCTCATTACAATTCCACACTTTCAATGTTCAAATGTATTTAAGTGAATCCACAGCTTAGTATAGTTTCTACTGTTGTTCACCCAGATTGTGTCACCTAACCCACTAGAACTATCTACTCTAATCCATTTTTTTCCACTTAGAAACACAGAAACTAGGAGCAGGGCTAAGTCATTCAGCACTGTGTGACTATCTGCTCAGCCATTCAATATGATCATGGCTGATAATTTTTGTGTGCATGTTCCTAATTTCTCCCTATACATTCTGATGTTATTTAAATTGAAAAAAAAATTCTCTTTTGAATATATTTAAATGAATTGGCCTCCAAGTCTCAAACAGTTTCCCAACTTTTGAGTTCAATATATTATAGACAAATATTTATACTTTAGCTTGTTCTTGAAGAGACAGAATTGCAGGTGTTTGATTTTGTTCTTCATAAATCCAAAAAGTATTGTTTTTTTTTCCTGAAGCAAAAAAGTACACTTTTCATTCATAATTCATTCTGAAAACAGCTGGTATTTCTCATCTATCACTGTTGAAAGCCATTCTATTTGTATATAAAATAGCATTTTGCTCTATCATTTAAAATAAAATCGTGGTGATAATTCAGGGTAGACAGAAAGAATAAAACCGCTACTATATAGTTTCAAAAATTATTATTTTTTCTCTATGCCTATGAGACTACTTGCTCTTGGCTGCTTTATAAAGGCAAATGTAAAGAGAACAGAACAAACATAAAAATGCTTTCTGTGTGTGGGTACTTACACGCACCCTGATGTATTCACATACTCAGGGCTTTGATCAGTTTATCCTGTTTACCGGTATTATTTCAGACCAAGAAGATTATTGCATTTTTCTCAATGTATCGGATTAAGTAACAATTTCTCTGCATTTGACTGGCTTGTGGCATATTGAATCAGCTCTTGGAACTCATTGCTTTTCCAAAGTTAATTTTCACTGATATCACAACTTTTTGTGTGTTTGCTGTAAATGATATTCTCTGTCACCTCACAGTCTTTGATCTCCTATTAGATCCTGCATCCTACTTCCTCTCATTCCAGTGATATTTCCCTAGTCCTCTCCCATTTGTTACTCTTGAATCTGCATGTCCTCTCTCTTCCCTTTCTAACTGGGAAAAAACATCAGCCCCTTTCTACTTTTACCTTCATAGGAAACGTGCATTAAACAATAGGAGGGATGTGAGGGTCCACAAGAGGGTGTACAGAAGATTTACTAGAATGCTTTGAAGGATGCAGAATTTTAGCTGCATGATTCGGTTAGAGAAGTTGGCTTTGCTCTTCTTGCAGAAAGATGAGGAGAGATTTGGTAGAGATGTTCAAGATTATGGCAGGTTTAGATAAGTAAGGAAGTACCAAATCTCTATATTTTTATTTTTCTGTATTTTTGATTGTGGGCTAAAATGGGAAAAGTATTGCTTTAAAACCAAAGATTGTGGAAGGAATTATGGTCCTTCAAAAAAAAACAAGTTAATGAAACACATTGTAAGTCATGTTTACACTGCTGCTTTGTTCAAGTAGTGGGAAAGGCTGTTTGTACATGGGCCAGTATCAGGGACTGCGTACTAAATGAAAGTCGGCTTACAGGCTGCTGATTGCTTGTTGGGATTTGATGACCAGCCTGGCAACAACCATTTGATTTGCTCCTGGGTGGCTGCACAGTTTGTGGATATGAACGATTTTGCCAGAAGCCTTCAGACTGCTGCAAGGGCAAATGATGTGACTCTCTCTCCGGTAACATATCAAAGTCCTGCAGAAATCCATTTATTCTCCCTCAACAATTGTGGCAATGTGTGGCCTTTAATTAATAACAAATAAACCTGGCAGTTGGTATATCATTCTTCTGTGCCTCTTGCAAAGAAAGAAAAAGATCCTGGACAAGAGAGATTGAAAAAGCAGAAAATCCTGTTAAGCAAAAGGATCACCTTAGTCAACCATGTGAACTGGGGCCATTGAATTATTCCCCCATTCTTGTTTCTTCACCCTACCCATAACACTAACCTTTGCTAAGTCTGTGTGCATAAGTATGAGAGAGACAGAATGAAAGAGGGGGAGTGGGGAGTTAGGAGATGGGGGTTTAGAGTTTAACTAATAGGGTTGTACATTTCATAGTTGTTTACCTATGATTAGAATCTTTTTTTTTGTATTAGGCCGTAGTACAGAAATCAAGTTCGTATTTTCTATTAGTTTGGGTCTCTTTAACAGATAAATTGGCAACTTTGCACACTTTGATTTTTTTTAATGTTTGTGAGACTCTGGGAAGAGTGGGGCTTGATTTCCAGTGTGTTACCCCAATAAGATGTGGCATAACAAAAAACTGTACCCATCAACTATAGTGCGACGAAACAGCGTAATGGTTTTGACAAAAGTTGCAGGAGAAATGTAACTTTATAATCATTAATGTTAGCAAAGGAGGAGCCTTTAATGTTGGCAGTCTCAGCTGGGTTCAAAGGCAGCCAGCCAGTATTGGAGGCAAAATGTCATTTCTATGTATTGTTTGTACTATGAAGCAATGCATTGTACCTGAGCAATGGGGGAGAGAACCACTCCAGTGACCATCCTCTTGGCAAATACGAGTATGATTTCCAATCAGAGTTCGAGCTCCAACACAAGAGTAGCGAACCAGGGAACCAAAGGTAAACTTGTCTCCAAATAGCTCACCGTTTGCAGGGATGTCTGGATGACCACAGGAAATAGCTGGAAAACAAAATGATCTTTATCAGAGCTAGAGTCACTGGATATGCTTTAAACAAGTAAAGGAACGCTACTTTAAATGTTTTAAAACTTAACTAGTCGTCAAAATCTTGCAGGTATCCTTGCCAAAAGAAGGATAAGATACCTAAGAGGTTTAAAAATGATATTAATATCATCCAACAATGTATATCTTCAATATTGGAAAAGTCAGAAGCTATTTAAAATAGAAACAGTCCAATTAAATAATGAACTATTAAACAATGTCAACGGTTACTCCTTGATTATGATGGCTATTTGCGCTTAATTATAAAATGTCTCAAAAATATTCTGGGTATTCGTATTCCGAGAGCAAAAAACAACACTGCAAATGTTCGTACTGTCAGACAAAACTAATGATAATTCAAAATATACATCAAGTCAATCAGATTCGTAGCCTTTTTCATAACTAAAAAAATTAGGAATGGATATGCATATTAAGATCAGAAAATGGGAAAATATTAAGAGATGTTAAACAGATACCTAACAAAAATGAACAACATTAAAGAAACAAAGCATGCTGAATAACAAAAGCACAGAATCCTTAATGAAAGTCAGGCAATGGGAACACACAAAAAAACTAAACATCAGATTTAAAACTGAAGGCCATTTTTGAACAAAAAAAAAGACAAAAATGCAGTGGGTCCATCAACTCTGAAAGGAAAGAGAAAGTAATGTTTCAGTAATTTTCCTACTCTGAAGTAAGAAACTAAATTCAGCGCAGAGATGGCAGCATGACAGATAACACTGTCTCTTCATTTGAATCAACAAATTTCCATCATGCTTGGTCATTCACATATCACCTGTAGCAATTTCAGCTGTGTTATATATGTGCAACAGTAGTAAAATAAGTATATCATAATGTTTGCGTAATACATTAAAAAATCATTTATTTTAATTTATGTTTCTATGGACATGGACATTGCTGGTTGGGCTAGCATCTCTTGATCCCTAATTGTCCTTGAGGAGGCAATGGTGAGCCATATTCTTAAACCATTGTAGTCCATGATGTGTGGGTACACCCACAGTGCAGTCAGAAATAGATGGTACATTTATTAATGCTTCTGTATTCCGTGGCTAATTAATAAATTGTTTTCATAATAAAGATAAAACTGTTCGGCTTTGAAGTTATGCTATGACAACAACGGATAAATACTTTGGACTCTTGAAATTATCTTCCATCTAATTTGGCAGAAGTGGTAAATGCTTTCAAATGGTGCTGAATGCTTTCAAATAAAGTTCAAGATTGGTTAGTGTTCACAATTATGAAGAGGATTCGTCAAACTGATGAAGATAAATTGTTCAAAGTCATAATGGATTCAAATACCAGAGTTAATAATCAGAACGCTGGGAGCACAAACTTCATTCAGATGCAAGAAGTTTCTTGTTCAAAGTGAACGCAAAAGTCACCATAGTCTGCTCTCTTGTTGAAGAGGTGACCCCTTATCCTAAGGGTCATGATGTCTTAGGCGAGGGTCAAGGTTGAGGAAGTGGGGTCTTCATAGTTACCTTAGCTGGTTCATAATTGAACCCATGCTATTGACATCATTCTGCATTGCAGACTAATTGTCCAGTCAATTGAGCAAACCATGTTGTGGAATAAATCACCAAGGAACGCTTTTAGAAAATTGATTATTATGGAGTCAAAGATACATATGAATTAATTTTTAGAGGGGAATGGGTCAAAAGAGATTTAGAAATTTGACAAAATTGCTGAAATAAACCATACATTGAAAGCTTAATAGCTCATAATCATCAGGACAATTGACAATAAATACCAATGTAAAGGGAAAACAATATTTAGACTGTTTGAGATAAGAATGTTGGTTGGTTCTGGTGTTTGAATGGACAATGTGCCAGATGGATGGTGACTTATAATTGACTGCTAAGCTTTGTTTAGATGATAAACGAGGCCAGTTGATACTGATTGATTGAGGCATTGTCCTGAAAATGACTGTTGTCTCTTTGTTGCATTGAAACAAGCATAGTCTGTACAAATGTTCTTCCCACTTGCAGAGAACAGAGCTCTGTTTATTAACATACATAGCCTCTGGTATGCGCTAATGTGTCAGACTACAGGCCTGACTGACAATCCTAAAGTTATCAGTGTGATTCTTTGCACACTCAGGGTTATCTAGTAAGTATTGTCCAATCACAAAATCATGTCGATTGTTAAATACTTTGCTTTGAGTTTTGCAAGCATAGGCCAGTTGGATGTGTTCAAGGCTATTTGAAATGATCTGCCAATCTTTGGTATGGTCTAAATATGCAACATCACATTGGCACTGAGGTTTCTACAGTCACCCTTGAACACACTAAGGATAGCTCCCTTCAGATTTTCAGACTGGACTATTTTTAGTAAAAGTACATACAGTGTGTTTGCCACATAAGCTGCTGGAATATATTGCAGACGTGACATTGACATAGCACGGTGCCACATAATTACATACCCGCACCCTTGACTATATAGTTTCCCACCATGACAAGCTGCTTGCCTCTTCTGCAGTGCTAAAATGCAATGGAAGCCAAAAAGCCTGTTTGCCTCCAAAAAAGAACAAAGTAACTGAGCATAAAGAAACAATGCTAAGAGCCGTAAGATGCATCCAGTTTTGATACATGAGATGTGTGCATGCCCCAGTGCACAAAGTGATTGGCAGAAGCATGCAAGTCATAGGCGCGCCTATGTCCAAAGTGAAGTCCTGAAGGGATGTGAGAGTTGGACCAAGAGCAGGTATGATGATGGGACTGGTGGTTTAGTGATTCTGGCCTGCGTGGACGAAGAATGGAGGAGAATGGTATCCATGGTGCATGCAGCTACACTGTGGTGAAGACCGAGTTGGAAGAAGATAGGATCAAGAAAGCAGCAATCTGTTACAACCAGGTAAATTCTGTGCAGGGTGCTGCTGCCTTCTATTGAGAAAAATTGTAAGTAGCATATAAATGAGACAGGTTCAGTTAATAATAATGTGAAAATGCAAGGAAATAAAGTAGTTAATTAATAACAAGATTCTGAAAATGCCATTAAATCCTTAAGGGGAAAATTGGGAACTTTTCTCTCTGTCTGAATTTCTCATATTCATATTTTCCTAGCTTTCTCGCCATTGCTCATGCTGCCCAAATGAGTGAAAAATTCTGTGCTTTGGAGTTTTATAAAATTTTTTCAAGAAATATGGGCATTGCTAGCTAAACTAGCATTTATTGCCCATCCCTAATTACACAGAGGACAGTTAAGAATCAATGAAGGTACTGTGTGTCTGGAGTCACATGTAGGTCAGACCAAGTAAAGATAGCAAATTTCCTTCCCTAAAGGATAGTAGTGAACCAGATGGATTTTTATAAGAATCAGCACTGGTTAGATCATTACCATTAGACCAGATCTTTTACTTATCCTGATTTTTTTCACCTGTTGAATGCAATCATGTTTCAACCTGTTAATCTTCAGACTTTAATTCTGTATCTTAAGAAATATCTCCTCCGAGATGCTCAAACGCCTGTTATGTGTGGTCCATTTCTGACCATGAATCTGTTAGGAAGTACTGTCACAACAGTGATAAAATATGGACCATCAAGTTTTAACTTCCATCAGTTGATTTTTTTTTAAAAATCATGGATTAATATAGTTTTAAACATATGGAGAACGCATTAACATTAGATGGCTGCAATGACCAGGTTGAGACAAGCTCACGAAACCAATGTGAGATCTATAAAAACAGTCTGAGCCAAAATTAGCATTGAGCAAAAGGCATTGAAACTCAGTCTGGCATGAAGAATCCTTTGTTGTCTATTTTTGGTTTACACATTTCTGGAAGTTTCACATATCGGAAGTTAAGTCGCCTGTAGATTATTCAACCTGAAAAATAATGAAGCCAGATATGGGAATACACAAGTGAACTGTTTTCCATGCAAATAGCTTTTGGGCAGAGGAAAGGAAAATTGATTTGTAACAGCAAAAACTAGAAAACACATACACTCTCTTTCTCTCTCACTCTCATCACCTGCTTCTCAATGTGGAAAGCCAGCAATGACAACAAAACAAATTGGAGAAATTTCAATTTATCAAGAGCACAAGCATTCTATAAATTTTGCTGTTGCTGCAGCTAAGGATACAGTTTATCAAGTAAAGAACTGCGGTCTTGCATTGCACTTAAACAACTCAAGGATCCCAAGAGCTTTTAAACTGCATATTCTTTGTCTTCCTATAATACTCGACACTCTCCCAGTTTTAAATTTTGCCAATGATTATGTGTGTTTGATATGGTATTTTATTATTATTCCTGGAGTCACTAAGTAATAAAACACACATTTCTTTCAATGAGGAAAAGAATTTTACAGTTGGCTCCTCTTAATTTTGACAAATAATCTATTTTAATTAACATGTGATTTAGTGCTGCGCTGAAAAGAAATAAAAATTTTTGTTACAACTTACCAAGGGGTTGTAAAGAGGGGATTCGTACCTTTTACCTAATTAATATTATTTTGCCACCTTTTTATTCTCAATCTGTTTACCATTTCTTTTTGCAGTAAATCTGTCTTGAATCTGTAGAATTTCAATACAATTTGTAATCTTCTTAAAGCTTATCTTCTTCCTTTCATCAATTGTATTTAAAATTATATTGCTGTGACATTTGCTAGAACGTAGAACAGCTGCAATATCATAGTAATTCTTTTTTGTCTGCCAGTATTTTCACTCTGTATTGTTGCAGTACTGTATTAAATTCTTCCAATAAAGTTTTTAAATTTCATAAGACAATAAAATCATATGGACAAGATTGGTGTGTCCTCTCTGCTGCAGTGTATATTACAATACGGTTGATTGTTGTAATCACAGAAACACAATAAAGGAACCAACAAGTTCAGTTAATTTCTGTGTCCAAGTGGAAGTGGGGTAGTGACAGCAAAGTATATCTTGCAAATTCTGTCCATGCCTCACTGGTCTGTGATAGTTTTGATGGATCTTCCTAAATTGT